TATTCAAAAGGCAGAGAATGCAAGACTGAAAAACACCATGTCCCAACTATGTGCTACTATAATGACATTTTATGCCTTTTTTTTTTTGGTGAGGAAGATCAGCCCTGAGCTAACATCCATGCTAATCCTCCTCTTTTTGCTGAGGAAGACCGGCTCTGAGCTAACATCTATTGCCAACCTTCCTCCTTTTTTTCCCCCAAAGCCCCAGTAGATAGTTGTATGTCATAGTCACGCATCCTTCTAGTTGCTGTATGTGGGACGCGGCCTCAGCATGGCTGGAGAAGTGGTGCGTCGGTGCGTGCCTGGGATCTGAACCAGGGCCGCCAGTAGCGGAGTGCGCATACTTAACCGCTAAGCCATGGGGCCGGCCCTCCTCTCACTGTTAACCATTCTTTTCTCCAGCTTTATTGAGATATAAATGAGAAATAAAATTATAATATATTTAAAGTGTACAATGTAATGATTTGATATACATCTACATTGTAAAGTCATATCAACAATCAGGCTAATTAACACATCTATCACCTCACATAGTTTCTTTCTCTTTTTGGTGAGAATGCTTAAGATCTCTCTCAGCAGATTTCAAGTATACAACACAGAATTATTAACTATACTCACTCTGTTATACTTAGGTCCTCAGAACTAGGATTAACCACTCTGGAATGTTTTATTATCGCTTTGCTTTTCCTTATAGATTTAAAACTTGTGTAGTTCTGCTAAAGTAATATTTGAGTTCACTTTCTATGGGAAGCATTAGCCTGTATGTATTTTATCAAGCTTGGATTATTTTTTCTCCTCAAAGATGTATTTGTGGAATTATAGAAGCTTTAATTGGTAGCTGAAGTTAATTCATTTTCCCTGTTGGTTCGTATTCCAATTTATTACTACATCCTCATCTTTCATCCATTCTCAAGTTCACAGATATTGGGTTATTTTGGCTTATTTCCATGGCCAAGAGTGCCACAGGGAATAGATCTGTATGTGGATCCATATGGATCCTAGAGCATAGTTACTTGCATTTATTTCTAGAGTTTATAAAAAGGTGAGAAAATCTGGCACTAAGTTGTGTGTATCTTTTCACTCTATGGCTTCAAATTAGTTTCTGAAGTGAATATTTACATAACAAATAGTACTTAAATATTTATTGTGCTCCATATACTCTCCAATACTAGAATCTAGAGACTCTAATATTTGACAACTTGATGAATGTAAAATGGTATCTCCTTATAGTTTTTATGTAAGGTTCCTGGTAACTCGAAGTTGAAATTTTTTAAATTAGTTCATTGTCCACTGTGGTTCATGTTCCGCAATATCTTACTCATAACTTTTGCCCATTTTTAACCAAGGGTTTTATATTTTTGTATGGATGTTCAATAGTTTCTTGTATATTATAAAAATAATCTGCTATTTACATTTTCTAGTTTGTGGATTTTTTTTATCTGACTCCTATTCTTAATCTTTTTTTCTTTTTGTGAGGAAGATCAGCCCTGAGCTAACATCCACGCTAACCCTCCTCTTTTTGCTGAGGAAAACCGGCTCTGAGCTAACATATATTGTCAATCCTCCTCCTTTTTTTTTTTTCCCCAAAGCCCCAGTAGATAGTTGTATGTCATAGTTGCACTTCCTTCTAGTTGCTGTATGTGGTACGTGGCCTCAGCATGGCCGGAGAAGCGGTGCATCGGTGCGAGCCTGGGATCCAAACTCAGGCCGCCAGTAGTGGAGCGTGTGCACTTAACCTCTAAGTCATGGGGCCGGCCCCTATTCTTAATCTTAACACACTCAGATTTATCCATCTGACTGTTAATAATTTGTGCTTTTGTCTTGTTTTAAAAAAATAAGATTTTTCCTATTTTGTTGGCTAAATTATAAAGTTCTACCTTCAAATTTAAAAGTTCGTTTCTACTTCAAGTTAGGATATGGAAAGTCACAAAATACCATTGCTCCCACAATAACAATAATGGAAAGGAAGAAGCTGTACAACGAGGACTTATAATGTCATTTATGAATTGCTATGCTCAAACTCAACTAGTGTATGCATAAGTCTGTCCTTGTTTAGGATCACAAGAACTTTGAGAACTGAGATAATAGGGAGACCTCTGCCCAATCCTATTGGCCTATATGTAGGATAGACCTGAATAGCACTGCATGGGCTTAGAAAACTGACCTGACATTGGAATGACAGTTCACAGAAGGTTAAAAAAATCCACCTTATCCACTGCATATAAACAAGACCCAGAGTCTCAAATGGACATTCAAATGTCCAGAATACAAACCAAATTCACTCAGAATATAAGGATGAGCCACAAAAATCTCCACTTGTGTGGAAAATGACAATCAGTAAACAGCAAGTAATGAGATGATGCAGGGTATTATTTGGGATTATCTGACAAAGACTTTAAAAGAAATACTATAAAAATGCTCTAACAAGCAATTGCCCACACATTTGCACAATATGAAAATGTATGCATAATAGAAAATATTAAAATAGAATATAAGCCAATTAATAGAAAACATATATAAGAACCAGATGGGAATTTTAAAACTAAAAAATATAAAAAGCACAATTTAAAATTCAGTGAAGGTGCCGGCCAGCTGGCACAAGCGGTTAAGTGCGTGCACTCCACTGTGGTGGCCCGGGGCTCCCCAGTTCGGATCCTGAGCACACACCAACGCACCACTTGTTAAGCCATGCTGTGGAGGCATCCCATATAAAGTAGAGGAAGATGGGCACGGATGTTAGCCCAGGGCCAGTCTTCCTCAGCAAAAAAAGGAGGCGGATGGGCATTGGATGTTAGCTCAGGGCTGGTCCTCCTCACACACACACACAAAAATTCAGTGAATAGACTGACTAGAAGAATACAGATGACATACGAGAGAGACCATATACTTGAATTTAGATCAGTAAGAACTACCCAATGAGAATAATAGAGAGAGGGAAAGATAGGGAAAAAATTAACAGAGTCTCAGAAACCTATGGGTCAACAACAAAAAATCTAACATTCATGCCATCAGAGTCCCAGAAGGAGAGGAGAAAGATATGCAGAGCTGAAAAAAAATATTTATAGAAATATTTGAAAATTTCCAAGGTTGGTGAAAGACACCCTACAAACTGAAGAAACAATGAATCCCAAACAGGATAAACCCCCAAAATCCATACCCAGATATAGCATAATCAATTTACTGAAAACTAAAGACAAAGAAAAACTCTTGAAAACAGCCAGAGAAAAATGAGACATTACCTATGGGGAAACAATTTGAATGGCTGCAGATTTCTAATTAAGAACCATGGAAACCAGAAATGTGTGGCTGAAATAAAGGAAGTGTCATTATGTCCAGCAAAAATACCCTTCAGAAATGATGGTGAGATAAAGGCATCTTTGGATGAAGGAAAATTAAGCAAATCCATAGTCGGGAGATCAGCTCTAAAAGAATTGCTAAAGGAAATTCTTTAGAGAGAAGGCAAAGAAAAAATAGCAGAATGAAATTTGGAATATCAAAATTAAAGGAACAGCAACAGAAATGGTAAATATCTGGGCAAATTTAATAGATTACACTCCTCATGTGTTCTTGAAACATACTCAACAATTGAAAGTAAAAAACATAACATTTTTTCTGATTGGAATTTTAATATATAAAGAGAGGTGATACTGAAGACAACTGTATCATAAAAGGGGAAGGGTACCATGGCCTAAATGGTGGTAAGGTTTCCAGATTCTACTTTAATTGGTACACTATTGATACTAGTAAACAGTGATGAATTCAGTACGTATATTTTCATCTCAAGTGCAATCACTAAAAATACACAAACATATATTATCAAAAACACAATAGATAAATTAAGTGGAATACTAAAAACTCTTCAAATAACCCTTAAAAGGTAAGAAAGGAAAGACAAGAATGCAAAACAAAGGGAACAAACAGAAAGCAAAAAATAAAAGGCTGACCTAGGTTAAATCCTAACATGTCAATAATTACATTAAATGTAAATGGCCAAATACACCCATTAAAGGCAGAGAGTCTCAAAATGGATTAAAAAAAAAAAAGACCCAACTGACCCAGCTATACTGTTTTCCAGAAACACACTTCAAATGTAATGAAATAAGTAGGTTAAAAGTAAAAGGATAGAAATAGATGTGCCAGGCAAACACTAATCAAAAGACAGCTGGAAAGGATATAAAGTGACAGGGTCAAAAGGTACAATCCAAATATTGTGTTCTGCTTACTTTTGTGAGGTACTCAGCTAGAAAGGCTAATGTACCTCACAGAATTAGCTTGAGGCTCCTCATTTTCCTCTTGCTGGTCCACTAATCGACACTCCATCTATGTGTTCCATGGAGCTGTTCCATGAAAATTTGGCCTGTCCGTTCCTGTTACCAGCTTATATATAGTGGCAAAAGGTTTTCTATCCATGTTTGCATTTTTTCCATTCCTTTGCTCTATTCCATCAAATGTATTTACATCATTCTAGTAATAATAGCGTTAGATAAAATGTTCAAGGCACGGTACATTTCTAAAAACACCACCATGAATACTTGTGAATGTCTTGAATGTTCACAACAGAGAGTTTTTGTAAGCCTTCCTGGCTTTAGTTGTGAGAAGGTGAGACTGCAAACGGAATGTTCACTGGAATTGCTTTCCACATGAATCAGGAGAATTTGCCTCCCTGGGCCTTGTCAATCATAAACACACTTGCCTTTGCCTTCCCCCGCCCTTGGCCTCCAAGAAGTGTGCCAGTGGATGAAATAGTGATTTTTGTAGCCGGGCTTAGAAAATATTTAGTAGAAATATTACTACACTCCTCAGATATCTTGAGGTTAAGATATTAGGATACAGTACAGAGGTATCTGCTGAGTTACATATTAGTCCTCAATACAGCCTGTGTGATGAATAGATGTTACCCAGATGTCTTGGATACTGAACCCAATGATCACATTTCCATTTATCCATTTCCAGTGGAGAACACTGGATTCCCTCTTCCTGAGTATCTATCTGAGTCACTGTTACATGTACTGCTGTCTGAGGTAGGACACCAGGTAAGGGTCTCTTTCAGCAAGGCTTCTGAAGAGCAGCTCCAGGGCCTGGTCCCTTTTATTCCTCACCAGCCTCAGCAGGGTCTCATTCTTCCTCTGCCGTGTCTGCTCCTGCTCCACCAGCTCCTTCTCATTCTCAGTGAGGACCTCACTGTCCTGAAGATCATCCAGCACCCCATTCAGGTCCCCCATTCTGGCTTGGAGCTGTCGGTGATGCTGCCTCACAAAGGCTGCACCTGGATGGAACGAAGAGTTGCAGACTTAGGGAGGAACAGCTCACTTACAGGATTCAGAACCTATGCCCAGCTAAAAGTCATAATTCTGTGTGAAGATACTTCTCATTCTCTTTCACATGTTGCCTAAATCTTACACACACACACACACATTCCCAGGATAAGCGGTCCATTTTCAGTGGTCCGTGAATTTATGTACAGACAATGGATGCATCTTCTTCGATCCCATCCCTTCCCCTCCGAGCTTTGAGAGCCTAGCCTTTGCTACTTTCTGTTTTTCATTGGAACCCTACACTGGGCTCTATCTTGCTGTACATTCATATATGCATGAATAATTGAACAAAAATCTGCAAGTTCACAAATTTTCAGTAGCTATGCGTGATGCTAGAGATATGCAGATGGATAAGGCTTGTTCCCTGCTCTCAAGGCTTTTCTGATAAGCTGTGTAGAAAGAGACATAACTGGATAAGTACAACACAGAGGAAACAGAAGCACTGGGGGACAGACGAGGTATTTTTCCATCATGCAGACTCAGGGTTCATGCTGGTGCCCATATTCAGTGTCTGTGTGACGTTGGCCAAGTCACATCACTTTCTTCTACCTCAGTTTCCTCACTAAAAGAAGGATTACTTTTTATGTACAGTTCATGCCCCTCAACCTTTTTTCTTAACAAATGGCACAGATAATTAATGTCCAGTCATCTGGGGCTATAACCAAACAGGTTAATTTAATGATGCAATTTCTGTGAGATCTTGGTATTTATATCAAAATGTTTATGTGGAATTTTACATTCAATGACTCCTAAATTTAGGTGAAGTTGCAGCCACAGGATGATTCTTATCTTATTCTATTCCTGCTGCCTGAATTGCTTTTCACCTCTCCCATTTGTTTAGCAACTTCCCATCAATCTTCAGAACTGAGCATAAACTTCACTCTTTTCCTTTCTCTGGGATGCACTCCGTGACTTTTTCACTCCTTCAAAGTTACATCAGAGCCCCCTGTTACATCCTCTCTTAAATCCCTCCAATTTTCCTTTGGAACACATATCACAACTGTATTTTGATAATCACTGTGAAATTAGTTTCATTGTTGTCACATGTTAGAATATAAACCCCATGAGTGCAGGGTCTGTGTCTGTCTTGTGCTACCTGCATCTACAGAGATGCTCCATACATGATTGCTATTTCGTGATCATTTCCATGTTCACTCTGACGTTCCTTCATGATTCTCTGGTGAAGCCCAGCCAAAGTTTATTGACAAGACTAAATAGACATGGTGGATATGTAGCATAAATATAGATACCCAGAATATTTAGCATACTACAGATGTTTGATAAGTTGCATTTATCATCATCATCGTCATTTTTATTACTATAATGCCATAAAGGAGAAATGTAACCATAGCTTTACGGTCACAAAGGAGGGGATGACTAACTTTAGAGCAAAGGCTTCACAGAAGAGCTAGTATCAGAGGAGGATTTGAGGAGGAGGATTTTGGTATTAAATACAGGATGACACCAGGCAAAAAGGAAAAGAGAGAGAAAGAGATGTTGTGATTTACAGTGCATGGCAGCCAGAATGAAGATTTGACTCAAGCTGTGGACTGGGATCAGCTTCTAAAGGGTGTTGTAGACTAGGCTGATGAGATTCAGTTTTATCCTTCAGACAACAGGTAATAGGTAATTCTTGCTCAAGAGCCTTGTATA